AGAAGGACGAGAGTTTAAAATTTCTGCGCGTCACAGGAACACACGTCACGCCGGGCGGCGACGTCAGCGCGCCTCGAGCTACGGTACAGCAGAGGTCTCCAAAGCGCAGAGGGGTCTCAAAACGTAAAGTCTCATACGATCTCTCTTGTTATTACGCTGTAACAGCCAAAAGCGAAATCTCCGGTAAGCTAGCTACAGCCTCTGTGCTCCATACAACGCACAGCTCAAGAGGTGAATCTCCTTGTCCTGCATCAGTATACGCCCACTTTTCTTCCTAGGTACTGACTAAAAGTGCACATACCTTTACTCATGGTGCTACCTTACCACAAGCCCCTTCCCAAACCCCGCCCCCTAGCTGTAAACGTCAAGTATGAATGGAATCTAATAACAATGTGAAACACAGTCTAAATCAAAAATTTAAAAGTGCTGCATTAATAAACTTGCTATTATCACTGATTTCGCAAAACCAGTGCATTTAGGCACTTAGGCCCGCCCCCATGGGTGAGAAGTTTAACTCCACCATCTGGCACATAAGAGGAGAAGACAAGTTGCAACAAATAGCTGAAGTAGGAAGTCTAATATTAAAGTTCTCAGTAAGAATCTTCAACTGAAACTTGTCATAAACAAGTCTCTAGGCTTGTGTGTCTGGGGTTTTACTTGCTTTTGAAAGCATGCTAACGCTGGGCAATAAATGGTGGCCAGTTATATGATTAGCCACGGTCACTTAGAGAGCTACGTTCCCTTCCATTTTCCCTCATATGCCTGTTTGGTCAGCCTCTAACATCACAGTCTTAGCCTATCTGTCCATAACCAAATAGTGCTATGTTAGAAAGTTCTATGCTAACGCTAAACTCGTCCCGACAGCCATGCTGTCCCAGATTTTTTTTCCCCGGGATTTTCCCTTCAGCACTAAAGACTTCTGCAGTACAAAAATCTGTGTATATGAGATGATGCTGTAGGAGGAATAACAATCACCTGACTTAATTGACACTTGACATGATCAAGCCAAATGACCAAAGAGGTTGATCATCTTCCTTGATTAATATGATTAACTACCCTTTAGTGGATGATGAGTGAAACTTCTCCTGAATAGGTGCTCAAAAGCTAAACAATATCATATCAGTCCTCCTCAATTTAATCAAAGTTTGCCCAACACAGCACACACACACATAAAACATATTAATGATTGTACATTAACATAAAACTGTTGTCGGAACCATACTGAATTTCACCAGAGAAGATTCAGTATGCTACATCAGTGTCTACTTTTTAAAATCATAGCCAAGTGACACTTCACTATCCCTACTAATTGATGTTATCTTGTTGTATCTCTGTTGTGGTCAGTGCTATCTTCTATGGTGTTGCATGCTGGGGCAGCGGGTCGAGGGTCACAGATGCCAACAGACTAAATAAACGGATCCACAAGGCCAGTAATGGTGTGAGGATGGAGCTGGACTCCGTTAGGGTGGTGTCTGAGAGGCAGATGTTGTCCAAGATAAAGACAATGTTGGATGATACCTCCCACCCACTCCATGACATGACATGCTGGCTAGTCACAGAAGTACTTTCAGTGAGAGACTGAGATTACCAAAAAGCACCACTGACCGACACAGGAAATCATTCCTGCCTGTGGCCATCTCCCTGTACAACTCCTCCATCTGACACACTGTGAACCCTGCGATAGTTACACCCTTTTTACACGCGCTCTTTTCTACTCTGGAATATTCTTGTCAATTTTCTTGATATTTATTTATAATCACCTTTGTTAATCCTTGATATTTAGAACTGAGTGATCTGTATATATTAGTGCTATTTCTTAAATGTGTAAAATCTCTAAGAGAATGTATTGTTTGGAGTTTAGTCTGTTACTGTTACTATTTTTTTTTTTACCATTTCTTCTTGGAGCAACTGTAACCCACATAATTTCCTTAGGGATTAATAAAGTATTCTGATTCTGATTGTTTCAGGATGACCTGCCATTATCCAATGACACGTCTGCTTTCCTGTATCTTTTGCTCGTTTCTCCTCCTCTTCTTTTCTCTTTTTTCTAAACTGAGCACCTGATGGCTTTGAACTTTTCTTGTCCATCTTCCATTGGTTTTAATTTTGCACTCCAGTATGAACACCCATCCCCTAACCTGAGGTTCACCACAACATAACCTAATAGACCTACACCTTAGTTCACAGATGGGC